CAATAACAACAGCTTTTTGACAAGTTTAAAGTTTCTTTAAAATACATTCAATTTGTTTATGAATAAACTACAAAAATGAATTTGATGAAGTGCAAATGAAAATATAGCTGTATCTGGAAATGAATTTGATAATGTTTCAAACTTTTAAAATATTGCATGGTAGAACCAGAAGCTGCACTTCATATTAGTGACAAACTTTCGATTTTTTTTTGACGAGTTAACTTCGTTTTTGCTTCTACTTTTTCTGTTTTAAAATAGGTTTTCACTCTCAGCTGGTATCCAAGGTTCTTCTTCTATGTATTAAAAAAGTTGTTAAACGTCTGAGTGGCACACTACTGCTCCTAGTGGTGAGAAAATGTATTGCACCTTATTCTAAATCCATGCGGTCCTGCAGCCCAAAGTTAAAAACTGTTGTTCTTTTGAGGCCTTCAAGGTGGTGCTGGCGGCCCACAATATGGCTGCAGACCATGGGTTAAGAATCTCTGCTCTAAGTGATAGGAATTTGGAGATCTTTCTTTAGGACTTTGCATGCAAAATGGATTTTTTTTTCAAGAAATACTGGGCTTACATAATTGCTTATGTTTTAAGGTTGGTGTCAGCCAAATCAGCAACACAATCATAAACTCTTCCCCACATGTTTATCTCGAGTGTTTCAATGTGATAAAAACCARAGTCATCCATTCAGCCTGACTGATGTCTGTCATGATGCGTGTCTGTGTCAGATGATGATGAKGAGGAGGAGGACAGCAGCCAGCAGCCGCAGCAGGTATCCTCAGCTCTGGTCAGCAGCTCTTCCAAGATCCCTCCTGTCGAGGTCCCGAATGACGCACCACTCGCTCAGACCTTTCGACCGGAGAGCTTCAATGTCACCCTGCAGCGCAAAGACAACGAAGGCTTTGGTTTTGTCATCCTCACATCRAAGAACAAGCCCCCGCCTGGAGGTTAGTATGAAATCACATTTTACTTCCTGTTTTCATCCTTACACATCATGTGGAATCGGGCAGCTAATTGGGTGTAATTTTCTCCTCTCCAGCATGGAGGCTGGTGTATATGTTTGAATGGGCAGAATTTGTGATAAAAACTTGATAACATTTTATCTTTCTGTTATTTAAGCCTGGCAGCTTGAATAATGAGGCTGTCTCATGTTAACACAACTAAAAAGGAGATATTTGATTCACCTCATTTCATTAGATATCCTGAGGGGAAAACCATGTATTTTTTAGGGATTTGGATCTAATTATGTATAATGGATAGGCTAAAATATTMAAATAATGCAGGAGTAGTTCTGATAGCAGAAAATGTTTTGGCTATCCCACTCCCCAGACTTGAAAATCTTTGCAAATCTTTGGGATGATTTGAAGCAGAGTGTCCATGCTCAACCACCATCAAACCTAAAGGTTTTTTAAGAAGGAATGATCSAAAATACCCTCATTCAGAATCTAGACACTTATTAGAAGCAATGGGAAGMATCTAGAGGCTGTTATTTTTGCAAAAGGAGGATCYACTAAATATTGATTAGATTTTTCTGATGGGGTGCCAAAAGTTTTTGTACCTGTCCAATTTTTTATGCTTATTGCACATTTGCTGTTAATTCAATRAACCTCTAACCTGGTAAAAACCAGCCCTTTGTTTTACGCATCGCTTCATACARAGGGTCTGGACTCTCAGCTATTGAGAAGCGATGTCTTTCTGGAGGTGTGGCCTCTGTTGAAGTTTAAAACGATTGGATCTGATTCTACCCAATTGTTAACAAAGAGAGAAGTTCTGAGCCAAATGAGATGKCTGTAAATGAGTGCTGCAGGCTTTGTGCCTGTCAACATGGACTTCAGTCTTCATTCACTTCCTCCTCTGTCATTGCTACTGTAAACTACAGGCAGACTAAAACAGCAGAAAATCCACATCATCATTCACAACTCCTCCTCCTGTTCACTGATTGGCCCGGTTGAAATTCTGCCGGAGAAAACCAAGTCAGTGGGAGAAATTCCAGACAGATCAGAGAAGGGAGACATAGATTAAATATAGTTTCATGACGTAGATATTAGTGCTGTATAGGGATGGGTWCCGAATTCGATAGTTTTTTAAGTACAGWCCGAATTCWGTCYGTACTACTGAGTATCTATTCACGTAGCATCAAACAACACCATGTTTCGGTACGTAAACGCATCATTGTTACCATATTGTCATAAGAGTGGTGAGTTTTCCATGCTTGTCCTGAATGTAGTGATGCGCAAGAGTGTAATGACATCAGCAGCCRCTGGTAAACAGAGCTCAGAAMGTAGCTTGAAAGCGACTTGCTTTAGTGAGCCTCATACAGCGGGTAAAATAAGTATTGAACACGTCACCATTTTTCTCAGTAAATATATTACTAGAGGTGCTAATGACATGAAATTTTCACCAGATGTTGGTAACAGCCCAAGTGATCCATACACACAACGAAATCAAACCATAAATGTCCATAAATGCGCCACCCCAGGCGCTCCGTCCAAACACGAGGGTCAATCCGAGGGCCGAGGGACTCCATCCATATCCGCCACTCCACCGAGACACGCC